GTGGGTGGGGCTGTGAACAGCATTAGGCTGCCACGTGTGATTTTGCACGCTGGACGTCTAGTTTTGTTATATTGTTATGGGTTCACTCAGTGAGATAAACCACCGACTCAGAATTTAAATTTAAGAGCCTTTATTAAGCTGGCCAGCTGACTACAATTACAGCACCCTGCCAAAGCAAAGGCTGAACTGCAGGGCAGACTACAGGAATTACAGTATTTTTATTTGCAAAAACCACAAAGTTACAAAACCTTAATTCCCGACACACTATTGTATCAGTACCTTCCTATCTATGTGTGTTAGGAACAGAGAGTACAGCATATTGAGAAGGGGCCATGAGACCATATCTCAAGGCCTGGCCTGATGTCAGTACCTTCCTATCTATGTGTTTTAGGAACAGACAGCACAGCATGACCCATCTGGCCAAAGCACCAGATATGCAGCCCACATAATTTATGTCTTTTGACATTTACCCTCAGAATGTAGCACCTCTCCATGTGTGAAGTGAAAAGGGTAGTTTTTTAGAGCTTAAATGTGTCCTAAAGCATGAAAGCCCATACTTACAGTTTTGTCACCTCCCTGATTATATCTCTCTAAAACCTCAGGGGAAGAAAAAATTACACCTAGTTGCCCTAAATGCAAGAATTACAACTACTTGAGGGCAAGTGATGCCCAACCTTTATTTGACTGTAAAATATTAATTCCTTCATCTCAATTGTTGAAGTGAAAGAATAAATGCATTAACTGATCCATCAATAATTAAAAATAAAATTGATTTCATCTGTAACATTTACTGGGACTACTTTGGTCCCCTTGAGATGATCAGAGAGCAACTGAAAAACCATCCTACCTTAGAATTAAGGAGGCAAGGAGAGCAGTTGTTTGAAAATCAGATTCCTTAACAGGATGATTTGATAAAGGCCTGAGGGACTCAAAGAATATATCCACTGACCGATAATTATAAGGAGAATAATGTGTGTGTTTTGTGCATGTGTGTGTGTTTTCTGCTTTTTGAAAGTAGTCCACATTGCATTTATTTATTTATTTTTAACTTATCTTTATTATTGAAAGTATTACAGGTGACCCCTTTTCCCCCTATTGACACCATCCACCTACACCCACTGCCCCGCCCCCCCGCCCCGGGAGAGAATAATGTTTGAAAACAGGAATCACCGGCTAAAAGGCATTTACCCAGGGAGAGGAACCAGTTCTTTTGAAAATAAATTTAGCAAAAATGTTGGTCAAGATCCAAGACCGATAATCAAGGGACTAGGTCAACATTTGGTAGCATCAGATTCTCTCTCTCCCCTCACCCCCCATTGATTTTTAGAGAGAATGGATAGGAGAGAGGGAGGGGGCCAGAGAGAAACATTA